AAGAGCTTATTCAACCTTTTTGCATAATTTTATCACAGCATCAACCTTTCCAGAGAAAGTTCATAATGAGAAGAACTCATCTGAAAAAGAAAGAAGAAGTTCATAATGAGAAGAGCTTATTCAACCTTTTGAATGACTCTATCACAGAAGGAAATAGGTCAACATCATCCCCAGCAGAAAGTTCATAATGAGAAGAACTCATCTGAAGAAAGAGAAGAATTTATCATAATCAAGTGAAGCCAAATGGATAAAAAAAAATTATTATCTTTTCGTCTTTGCCCTATTCTTGTTAACACAAGAATGAGCAAAGAGGGGCAACTGAAGATACTAATTTTTTTTACCCATTTTTATTATTATTATTACTATAATTATTATTATTATAATTATAATAATTATAATTATTATATATATTATTATTATTATAAAAAAAATAATTACAAATAATATTATAGGCCCAACAGACTGGCCCAAACAAAAAAAACCCTAAAACCCATTTAGGGTTTGATCTCAGCCGCCGCCTTGCTTCTCAGCCATTGGATCTAACTTAGATCCAATGGTCCAGATGGTTCCAGCAGGAAACCCTAGGGTGATGATACCCTAGGGACACGTCCCAGCCGCCGCCGTAGCTTCTAGAAGACCACGCGGCGCCTCTTCTGCTGCCAACACCATTGCCGACGCTCCACCAGTGCCACGCCTCCGATGAAGACTCCAGAAGACTCAGAGCAGCCGCACACGTTGAAGTCTAGAGTGAGTCACCACTATAGCTCGGTGACTCACCGAACTCCACCTTTTGGACCGGTCCGAGATAAGCGCCGGTGATGGCTATAAAGCCATCACCCAACCTGCAAAGAGAAGAGGAACCAGCAACAACACAACAACTAAAAAAAAAGAAAGGAGAGAAGCTTACCGAGGAAGCCACGACCGCCGGACCTCACCAAAACCTTTGAAAATCGAAGGTACTTTCTTAGATTTGCTCCAATCGGGAGCTATTTAGAAGAAAAGATCACCGGAACCGTCATTAGGACGGTCCGATCTACATTGTGGTGTAAAAATAGATTTTTCCGGCCACCGGATGCGGTGACCGGTGGTGAGGACTACGGCGGCAGACGACTGCCACCCGGTGACCGGCTTCCCTCCGGTGAGGGAAGCTAGAGAGAAGAGAGAGCGTTTTCATTCTCTCTCAGTTAGAGAGAGAATGATAAAGGGGAGAAATGAGAGAGCTGGCCCAAAGGGCCAGCCGGTTTCGGGTTTAAATAGCCCTTCCCGAACGACGTCGCTTCGGGGAGGGCTATTTGTGTAATTTTTAAAGGTTAAATCCCGTCCGCAGTCATCCTAACTTGTAATCTTTACATTTTAGTCACTAAATCAATTTATAATCCTTTTAATTCGGTTCTTTAATTTTAATTTTATTTATTTTAGTCCTTTGCATTAAAATAATATATTTAGGGTAAATAATAGATTTAGTCCTTTAATTTTAATAATTAATATTTTAATCTGAATAGTATGTTTTAATTTATTTTAATCTGATATTCGAATTTTATATAATTTTAATTTAGTCACTAAATTAATAAATAAGAAAAATAGCATGTTTAATCCCTATAATTTTGAATAATTAATATTGAATTAGGTTTTTAATTATAATTTTAATTATAATTTAGTCACTAATTTTAAATATTTTCTTTTATTTTACTGCTTTTAAATATATAGTTCTAATTGTATTTTTATTGTTTTAATTTTACTTGTTTATTTATTTAAATATTATTTTTATTATTATTATGTAGTCATATAAATATATATATAATAAATAATAATTTATATTTTTTTTACATAAATTATTTTAATATTTATTTTTCAATATCGAAGAAAAGGACAGTCTTAATACAACTGGATGTCCTATTCTGGTATTTTAAAATTAAATATTATAAAAATTATAATTTAATTTTATTTAAATTATTATATTAATATTTATTAATATCGAAGAAAAGCTGTCTTAAGGCACCTAGAAGTCCTTTTCTGATATTTCTAAATAAATAAATATTTTATTTATAAATATATATAAATTATTTTTTTCTCATAATTATAATTTTGAAATAATAGGATTATAAATTAAATATATTTTGAATTTTTAAATTTCTAATAATAGAGACAATTTATAATTAAAAAGTACCAATTTTGGGCGTTGTAGGGGTTTAATCCTTCCCTAAACGTAACCGACCACGAATCCATTTTTATTATTAAAAAGAAAGAATTTTTGGTTATAAACGCAGATCAGATCATCTTTTAACTGATGTTTTCTTAAAAACTCTGTTAAAATATAATTTTTAGGTATTCGACATACCTGACCCAAAAGGCCAATGGCGACTCCCAAATTATTTTCAAAATCATTTATTCACATCAATTTTCTCGCCAAATAAATATTTCGTGCCCGGACGAAAACCGGTTACGACAAATTGGATGGAGGGAATGAAACTTGAATACTAGTGGATTACAGGGCAGGTATTGCTTAAGGAAGGTTTCAATATAATTGCATTTATGATACTGACGGTGATGGCACTAGCTATATGAAAGAAAATGATATTTACAATTAATTGGTGCATAATTAATTCCCTTAAAGATGCTCAAATAATAAGTATGATCATGATTTACGAAAGGACAATTGGGGAGGAAGAAAGAGCCTGTAGGTCCCCTTTTATCTTTGTCTCGTCTTTCTAACATAAAGAAATGGAGATTCTAAGACCGGAACCTTATGCATGTTAGCATTCACATGGTCATCCAAGTGAACAGAATGGAGACACAACAGGAAGAAGATGACATTCCATGTCATGGCATGCACTGCACCATGATGTCTCGAGGTCCTCCCTACATATAAAAATCTTAGGTTTTGTTAGGAAAGCAATTTTAAAGGGGTTTTTTTTTTATGCTTCAGAACTTGTTGAAACTAATCTTGGCCTTTTTCAGGGTGTAGGCTAACAACATTTTTGTACACTCTTGAAAAAAGTTTGGATTTTTTGCACGACTCACTTTATTCAACGAATCAAAAACAAAGATAATACCCCATTAGGATGACAATCTCAGCACAATTTTTTTTATTAAAAAATGGGTGATTTCTGGAAAGTGTTTTAAGGCCATATGATTGTCTTTACCCCCAACATTTCCTCACGAGATCTATACATCATGATTGGTTTTTGACCACTTTTCTTCTAAGGAAGATCTCACCCTTGACTCTTGTGTTCTTCCCTCTATATTTTTTTTACTAAGATGTGCAACCCAAGGGAATCAAGTAGTAAAGTTTTTTTTACTAGGTTCAGCAGCAGCAGCAGGAGCGCTACTCCACTTATTAGACCAGATACTCTGCTATTTTCAAACTCAGTACTTGAATTTCAAACATAAATCACCAATACCAATTACTACAAGAATATTCAATCAGTTCATACAAGAGCATTCAAGAATGTTCTGTATCGCCTGGTTACAGAATTCAGACTTCATTAAAGTTGTCAGATTATTGCATTTTTTACCATGAACAATTACAAGAATATTCAATCAGTTCATGAGAAGGTGGAATTACAGAATGTTTTTTTTTAGACAAGAGAATCGGTAGGTCTGTTAAAAAATATCAGAAGGCAAAGGTGACAAAAATTTCAAACGATTAATGATGCTAAACACACTAACATGCCATGATGTTAATCACTTCTGCTGAATCAAAAGTAAAACAATATAATGAAAATGAAAACAACTTTATTTATTTTCTTTTGAAATGGTTGTGGGGAACAAAATCAATTTCCAAACAGGTGAACCATCATGAAGTTTCATTGATGGAGACTAGACACCAAGTACCCAAAAGCAAACATTCATTTTTATACTTAAAATAAACCATCCATGCAAACTTATCTTTCAAAATTAGGTTAAATCATATTTGCTCTTAGATCTTTTTACTTGACAATTATTATTTCCTTTGGATCAAGTAAAAATGTTCTCTCTATCCAAAAAAAAAAGCAGTGGGATCCTGCTTATAATTTTAAGACTTGTTAGTTAAAGCTATAGTAACCATCAAATGTTTGGACCAACTTGTATAGGGTTTTTTCAGTTCAATTAAGGTTTTTGCGTTCGAGTCTTTGAGAATATAACAATGTTAGATATTTTATAAAAGAATTTAATTATTTTTATGATTCAATGTGATTCGATAAAATAAACCTTTACTTAAACCGTTAAATGAATAGGTGATGGAAAGCCGTAGTCATAAAAAGGAAGACTATTGTAAAACAAAAAGGAGAAAAGGTTAATTAGGCCTGTATCGTTGGTTAATATATTCTAAAGGTGCTCTAGTTTTCTTCCCTCGTTCTTGGGGTTGTTTCTCTTACCTAATTTAGACGTGAAGATACTGCTATTTGTAGCTATACCGTTTGATGAAAACTTAGAATATAATGCTGGGAAGTGCTTGCCAGGTTACTATATGTAGACTTTGAAGTGCGAATATGGAAAAGATATCAGTTTTATCATAGAAAACTTCACTAATATGATTGTTTCCCATAAGTTTTCTAGGTCTTGTTCTGTTGATTATCATGATTAATTTCAGCAGAAATATGTTACGAGCTCAAACTCTTGACGAATAAATGATACTAATAATTCCCCACCAACGGTAAAAAGAATGTGGCCAAGAACAAAGATGTTCCTATCGCAGTATCATTATACTAAAACCGGTGAATTACATAACTTGTTTAAGAATGAAGAAATGATCCGCACATCACGCAAAACCCTGTGATAGTGACGAATAATGTGTAGGGTACGTTTTTTGTTTATTGCTATGTGTGTGTAGCTCGACGGTTTGGTGTGGAAACCTTGAAAATAATAAAAAGGATCATGGTTCTACTGTTGCTTTGAAAAGTACAAGCATGACTTTGCCTTATCTAGGAACATAGGTTAAGTCCATCTGAATTGTGAAAATATGGCGATGGAAGTTAATTTATTATAAAATACTTGGGAACACTGCAAAACAGAATGATGGAAACTCCTACATTTCATCCTCCGAATCCATGATCGAAAAGCAAGAGACAGAGCAGATGATAATATCATATATCATAACAGAGCTTCTGTACACCGTAACATGGTAGACGCTAGGGTCTAAAGGAAGGTTCAAGGTTGCTTAAGAATGGGTTACATTAGCGAATCAATGCCACTGGCATGGAATAAAGTGTAAAGACTGAAGACCAAGCCAGCCTTAACTCCTCAAGGCTGTTGTTTCCAACGATGATGAAAGGGAGAAAAGGGGAGAAATGTAGAGAGAAAGAAGAAAGGAATGGTGGATATCCTATGGACATAGTTCAATGGAGCCATAGTCAAGCAACTCCTCAATCATTTGTTCAATGTGATCCTCTTCAAGAGATTTGAACGGTACTTGAGCTTTCTTGACAACCCGATTGGTTTCAGTCTCTTGAACTGGCAATGGTCTCTTCTCCAGCAGGTGAACTCCCATTCCATTGTCTCTACCTGCAATGCAATTGTTGCTGATGACATGTGGTGTTGGTGGCTCACTTTTTGGCTCCTTCAGTGGTTGTTGTTTGGTCATTTGAAGTGAAGCCATGTAGCATTTATGTAGTTTAGCTGTCAAAGTTGCTGATAGTATCTTGGATGATGATGATTGTGTTGCATTTGGATTATAAGGGAAGTTTGTTCTAGCTCTCGGCCCACACATAAGCCTTGCAGCTTCATCGTAAGCGCGAGCCGCGTCTTCTGCAGTTTCGAATGTTCCCAGCCAAATTCTAGTTTTCCTGTACAAAGGAAACGTTCAAGTCAGTACACATGCTTTAAGAGCGCAAACGTTCATGGTTTTCGCCGGGGCCGGGGGGGGAATCAAGTTAACTTACAAGATAGGATGGCGAATTTCAGAAACCCAAGAACCCCAATGCCTTTGTCGGACACCTCGATATCGTTGTTGTGGTCTAGCCATGTTAGTGTGAAAGAAACGTTGCTTTTGAAGAGGGGAAAAAAGTGTTTGTGGATGCCTGAGAGAGTGAGAATGATGCTAGGGAGGGGGGAGGGGTGGGAAGGAGAGGGCCTTTTTGTAGCTGACAGACATGGTGAAATTAACTGTCATCCAACTTGAAAAATGGAAGGGTCCCGCAAATTTTCAAGGTCTTGGATCTTTTGTTCTTTATCTATTTATTTACAGTTGGCTGATTGTTGAATAATGTAAGGAGGGATATTTCAAACACCAAGCACATGGTTATCAGGTTATCAAAATATATTTTGGTTCAAAGATAATGTTTCAAGATTGAGCTCTTGTTTTATTCACCCTTCTGTCCTCATGAAATTCTAAGGTCAAATCTCAATAGATTCTTGAGTTCAGATAATGACTTAAGCAAAGTGCAAAACTACAAGTTGCTTTATAAAAAAGGCTTATTTTTAAAATAAATGCCTAAATTAGACATCTCAAAAATTTTATATTTTTTTCTTCAAAATAAGTGATTTAAGTGTAATTTCGTTCTCTTATACAGGTTGTCTGTTAAAAAAATTGTTATATGTTACTGATGAGTTATTCAAATTATGTCACTTTTTCCTAGTTGACTATTACAAGTGAAGTCGAAGTGTTTTGGTACTCATTTTTGGGTGTTAGAAATTCTGATTTTACTTTTAAGTAGACGAGTTTTCCAAGTCAAAATATTTGTGACTAATTTTTTAGACTTACGATTTTTTATTTTAAAAAAATGAGGTTGAAGATGTATAAATCAAATTTGATGCACTAGAAATAGATGCATTTTCAAATTTGACACAAAAAGACATGGCAGCAAGTTCGTGACAATTTGACAGTGGATTTTTTTTTACTTATTTCATACATTTCTTGAGCAAACATTGCCAACTTGATCTTTGTTTGATGGTCTTTCATAAAGCAAATCCTAAAATATACAGAGAAAACTAATCCTTTTGAACTGCATATAATAGACGTTAGAAGTTGGTTCACGGATGGAACAAGCAGCAGCGAAGAGCACGTAATTGGACAGAAAAAACATATAAAAAAGTTGGTCTCACTCCTGGTTTACAGCTAAACCTAACCTAAATTATATAGTATTAAGATTGAAGAGAAAGTCAAAAATATGAAATGAAAGCTAATTAAAAGCCTATATGGAAACAAAATGAGAGGACCCACTTTGCAATTCAAACGCGTTATGAGATGAAACCAAAAATACATAACATGGGTGATGAAAGATGATGGATATGGTTGTCCTTTCATTACCCAACCAGTTATTGAAGGCGAAGGCGAAGGCTCAGCCGCCCACCCGATTATCTGACCAAACACGCTCTTTCCCTTACTACTACAGCCTCACATGCACGCACACTTCATTCATCCAATGCCATTTGCAAGACAAGATGTGATAGGAATATATCGTGTCCATGGAGCAGGCCGCAGTCTAAGGGATTTGGGTACCCAAGCTGGGGGTTTGAATTTTTGGAATACATACCACTAATCTCATCATTTCCATTGACTAGGTATGCCATCGTGTTGGTTTGCATCTGTTTTTTTATCAACTCCGAACTATAAATTATTAATCTGAATCTAATTTGATTTCATCATTTATAAAATCCAATTTGAATTCGATTTTTTTAAAACAAATTGGATCGAATCGAAATTTATGAATTCATAATAAATTACCGTTCCTTTTATTGACATGAAAGAGATGTATGAAAATCTCCATGTGCATATCCCTGTTTCGTTTGTCTTATTCTTAGCCCTACATTTTTTCACAACCGTATACATTGATTATTATTATTATAAAAGATATTTATTTAATTAATTAGAATTGTCAATCACAATCTAAAGCCAAATCCACTAACTTGGTAGGTTCACCAGAAAGAAGTCGGTGATTGATGAAGCAGAAGCACATGGTGTTAGTGAATAAAGCTCATGTGCAGTGATGGTAGATTGAACAGATTCATGTGGCTGGAATATGAATATTGCTTATATGTATCTATATTTGGAAAGTTCTTTTGTTGTTTTGTTTTCCACTTTGGCATCTTCCTTTATTCATTCCTGCTACAGTTTTTAAAGTAAAGGACTATTTGTGATCTATGCTCATCCCATGTTCATTGTATTTTTTAAAAAAACAAACATGAGTTTGTTTTATTATCAAAAGATGGTGCATATTCTTCAAGTATATTTAATAATACATAATTTTATATTCTTGTATAGTTTCTTTAAGTTAAAAAAAAACAGTTCATTGATTGGATTAAAACCATTCGTGGAACCAAAATATTCGACATCAAGCAAGACAATATCTGTTAATAAAGACCCAACATCATAGCCTTTTCATGGGCTGATCAGCCCGATCGTATTGGATCCAGACTTGGGTTTAAATTTTTACTCACGGGTTGATTGGTGCGGATTCAAATAAATCATTTAAATTTAATTATGAAAATATAAAATAATATTAAATTTTTATCATTTTAAATTAAAATATATGGCCCTGATCTAAATATTAATTTTATAATTAGATTTCAATTTAACTCAACTAATGAATATCTCTACCTATCATTATACTATACCTAAATTTAGTATGAATATCATTAGACCATAGTGTACTATGGTTGTTGGTTTAAGAAATTGCGTTTAATTTTGTCTGAGGTGGATCGAGGATCGCTAGTAGGATTTATGATTTTTTTCTAAGTGAATTGTTATGTTTTTATCTTTCTTTTTCATTTATATTTATTTTTTTCTCTCTTTACAATTTATGCTTATTCCTAGATCAATTTAATGATCGAGGTTCAAGATTTGATATATTGATTTTTTTTTTGAAATAGGTAAAAGGGGTCGCCTAGCTTTCCGTTCTATCCACTAGCAGTAGTTTCTCTGTTTCTTTAGGGTAATCTTTCATAAAACTGGTATCTTCGTGGTGTTTCTACATCTACCTGGCGACGAAATCAATGACACGATTGGCCTCTCTAGGATTTAATTTAATATATCCCGTAACTCTCCATTTTTTAATATATATTTTGAATTTTCTAACGAACAATGTAGGGTACAAGACATATTCTCCATCACAAAAAGGTGTTATAGAGTGGCACGTTTTACAAATTGTTTATTTTAATTTTACTATTTGTGTACAGTTTAAGGATGAGTAATGGTTTGAGTAGAAAATCATGTATCACTTACATCTCATCATAATAAATATCTTATTGTAGGGATTTCAGGAGTTGATCACCTTTTATTAATTCGAATTACAAAATATAATTTTTTATTAATTAATATTCCAATAAGATATCACGTGCTTTGTTTCGGGGGCATTGTCCCCACCCCATTTTTCTACTTATTAAAAAAATATATATGAGTAAGTATTAAATTAGAGCTCCTAATTTTAATTTGTTTCCTTTATTTTTTATGATTAACCATACCTATTATCCTATTTTTTATTTATATTTTACCCCTTAAATTAAAATATTGGCTTCATCCAGACATCTCTTATAACATCTTCTATACGCTGAGGAGAGCAGGTTGGATGTGTTTTCTCTTGGAAAAAGTCTTTAGGGACTCCACGAGACACCAACTTAGTAAATATATAAATATACGTATATATAGCAATGAATTCCAATGGCATTATTTGCTTAAATATTTAATGGCTTCTATTGTATGGATCCTTTTAGGCAAGAACTAATGTGACAGATAAGAAACGATGGGGTTCGGTCAGATCATACCTTTATGGCAGTAAATTTAATTCAGCCGTTGCAGAGGAAGATTCAAGTTCAATTAAGAGCTCTGAAGCTACTGTTACTCAGCTTATACCGGAGGCGTCAAGCGACTAAGATAACAAAAAACCAGAATGACGAGACCGAGCCAAATCTAGCAGAGAAAAAACATACATTAGTTTCCAATCGGATGAAAATATATGATAATTTTAAATTTTCAAAGGAGACTGTTTTTGCCTGCCCCTCTTCAGTCCATCCCTTGTTTCGAGGGGTAAGATCAGTTGTGTGAAGGTGGCTTGTTAAGAAAAAAATACTGTCAGAAAACATTAAAGGACTAAACTGAAATTGTACCTACTGTTTAGGGGCTAAACAATATATTAAATCTTTTTGCTAATAGGTTACATCATCAATCTAACAAGAGTCAACCAAGGAAGGATTATTTTGTGATCTATTGATAACTTTATTGATCATTAAATAACGTATAAAATGTTTGTAGACAAAATAAAAATTAACTTAAATGTTAGTGACCGTTATATAATCAACTATGTATTTATTTATTTGTTTATACATGTATTGTATTTTATTTTTATTGTTAATTTTCTGATTGTCGGAGGTTTTTCACGGAAGTTGCTCTCAATTTGACGTTAAAGACAGTCTACTATCATACCTTCCCTTTCCTTTCATTACATATGAAAATAAGGATTTTGTTATTGTTGTTTAAATTAATTTCAGGCCGCTATCTGTAATCGGGTTATTTGAGTTTGATAGGTGGCCCCCATTGATATTAGTATCCATTTTTTCTCCTTCGCTTTCTGGGCCTACTTCAAAGAATACTTTCCTTGTCGAATGCTATTATTGGTAGGTTTATAAATGAATAGAATTTAAACAATAGATTTTTATTTATATTAGTTTATTTATTTATAAATTGATCTAAGAATTCTTTTTAAAGTTTTTGTACATAATTAAAATTTTAAATCTAGAGAATTAGATAATGTAATTTTTTATTGATGGAAACCATCATTAATTGTTATAGTATTAACATGTTAATTACAAATATTGACATGGTGATCCATATATAATAATAACGTGATAAATGAATTCAAATGATTTTTTTTAAATTTTAAATATTTTATTTTTTTTTAAATTTTGAAGGTCAATTTAATGTTTAAGTAAAAAAAAATTAATTTTATAATATTTAAAAATTAAACATGTTACTAAATTATAATTAAAATTTTAAAACAAATAATTTTATTTTATTTATCAGCGAATTTTAAATTATTCCTATAGTATTATCTCATTCATCATCAAGAATAATCTATATATTTTCTTAATTTTTACAGTTAATATAATATGTTTATTAAATCTACATAATAATAATTAAACTAAAAATAAACGTTTTAGGGTTTATTACATT